TAATAGAAAGGCAATCAAGGATTGCAGTTATGAAGGTCTTTCTTTCTAAATGCTTGATATAACTCAATTTATTGCAGTGCCACCAGACAAACCGGGTCTATCACTCATCCTGTTTCCGGTGTTTATACTGTTACTTGGTAAGCAGTAACGTCTGCTCTATAAGCTTTATTTTTTCGTAGCCAGCAAATTCTAAAAACTTCTCTTCGAAACTTCTCTATAAAATTGTGAATTTGATTTGAGATGAATGAGACGCAGGAGAGCAAAGAGATCAACATGAATGATTCTACAACTAATAAGATGTGTTTATCTATAGGAAAAGAAAAATATTTCTAATTTTGGACACTTCTATAGACAAACGGGCTTATCTCTTGGCCAAGTAGTTTATTAACTACAAACGTTTGTTGTCAGCAGACTTGTCCCTTCGCGAATCGGTTTGTTGACTGCGAACCTGCATTCAATTTGAAAAGTTCCAAAATAATTATTGTAACATATATTACGTATTTTTATTTATCTTCCAAATCAAAATTTTCTATCCGATCTATCCTTGATGCGGATAGGTTAGGGGATTTGGTGAGCTTGGAGATTTAGTGGCTGTTTAGTGAAAATTTATGTTGTGAACAGTACACATGAATTGTAAAAGAGATTAAGAATATAGTTTAGTAGAGGGAAAAAATAGAAAATAAAAAGAATGAAAAGTTTTAGGAGTCACTTAGATTTTTTTTAGGCATCACACTTAGAGATGATAAACCTTTAAACATCACTTAAGGCTAGTTGCATCATGCAACTAAAATTGCATCACACGTCTCAAAAGAAAGCTCTTGCTACAAATTTTTGAATATTCTATTACTCAATAATGAAAACAAGTTACATGCTTATTTATATCAAAACTACTAAAACTCCTACTGAAACTCTTATTTTAATTAAAACTATAACTTAAAATTTAAAATTTCTAATTCAACTAGAATTTACACTCTCGATAAACAAAAATAGTAAAAGGCTTTTAAGACTCTTAAAGACCTAATCCTAATAAAAGTAGGAAAATTAATGATAACTACACTTAAGTAAAAATAATTACTTATAAATCTTAGATTATCTAAATAAATCAAATAATTCTTCCATTTCCGCTTCTTGTTCCTCATCAATCCCTTTACTCCCTGTCGTTTCCCCGTCCATTCTTTATTCCTTCCATAATATATATGTTATTATTACAATTTATAAAACTGATCATCAAGGACGAGTAGAACCCAGGGTGCTAGTTGAGCATGAGGGGGCGCATGAGTGATGAGGAAGATGAAGATATCGAGATCTAGGTTGGGAATGGTAGGAGACAAAGTGAAGTGCGTGCTCTGGAGGAGACGCCCCCTTAGGAAGGAAAGAGATACAACTAAAATGCAGAGGAAATTAAAACAAAATTAAAGAAAGCCTCTCGCCTCCCTGAACTCTCTCCCTTCAAACCAAATAAACTATTAATGTCAAATAAGACTTTGAAGAATTAGTCAAAAAAATCCAAAGACTTTACTTGTTGCAAATAATATCTTTGAAAATAATATCTTGAACATACGAAAAAGTGAGCAATGATGTCCTTCCATTAACCACCGTTAGCTTCAGTTAACTACAGGGTGTTTGGCTAAAGAACAATTTTTCCGAAAACATTTTTATGGGAAAGTGATTGGTAAAAGTATTAGGCTAAATCCTCTATTTGTACCGTACACATTAATTTTTTTATGGTCAACATTCTCAAGAATTTTTATTCTTAATCAACATTTTTCATAATTTAAAACTCAAAAAACCCAAAAATTAATAGTAAAACTCTTTATTTGCACTTTGATTTTGTTGGTAATTTGGGGTTTTTTTATGGATTTTATATTATAGAGGATGTTAACCTAGAGTGAAAATTAATTATAAAGGGTGTTGACTGTGAAAAAAAATAATGAGTAGGGTGCAAATATGAGATTTCACCAAAGTATTCAAAAGTTTATAATAAAGTTTTATTAAAATTTTGTTGGGTTATTAGGTTTGTTGTATTTGGCAAGAAATTAATATAACAAAATTTAGTCAGGAAAATTGTTAAATAGTTCCACATAGGGAAAGTTATGGCAAACTTTTTCTTTGCAAAAAAGTAGGAAGAAAAATTTACTGGTTAGGAATTATATGTAGGAAAATAAAGACTAAAAATATTATTTTTATCCTTTAATTATTATAGTTTTAAGATGCATAAGTACTAAAATATCCCTACAAAATCCTAAAAGGAAGCATTCTCAGTAAAGTAAACCAAACACCCTCTTAAATCACCCGTTTTGTCATTAAAATAACTTTGTTAAGTTGGAA